CGGATATTCTCCAAGATGATGATTCTGAACAATAAGAGTGTCCGCAAGTTTGCAATATAGCATTCTTGTGTCTGTCAACAAGTCCAAGACATATTTCCTTTGAGAGAGAAATATGCCTTGCTGTGATCGAGCCACCTCAATTCCCAAGAAATACTTGAGTCCACCTAGATCTTTTATCTCAAACTCCATAGCTAAATAGTCTTGTAGCTGTGTTATTTCTTGTTTATCATTCCCAGTAATAATCATATCATCAACATAGATTATTAATGTTGTTACGTTCCCTTTCCGATGTTTCAAGAACATAGTATGATCTGAGTTGCACTATTTGAAACCATTGTTCTTCATTGCCATGGTGAACCATCCAAACCATGCACGTGGTGACTGTTTCAATCCATACAATGTTTTTCGTAACCTGCAAACTGTTCCAGTCTGAAGAGTATTATATCCAGGAGGAATGTCTATGTACACCTCCTCTGTGAGTTCTCCATGTAGAAAATTATTCTTTACATCAAATTGGTGTAGTGGCCAATCCAAATTAGCTGCAAGGGACAATAAGACTCTGACGATGTTTAACTTTGCAACTGGAGCAAAGGTTTCTTCATAGTCTATACCATAGGTCTGTGTGTACCCTTTTGCCACAAGTCTTGCCTTGTATCGCTCGATAGATCCATCTGCATTATGTTTTATAGTAAACACTCATCTACATCCGATAGTCTTTTTTCCTCATGGTATAGTTTCCAATGTCTAAGTCTGATTTTTCTCAAGAGCTTTCATCTCCTCTTTTATAGCTTGGACTTAGGATCTTTCAATGCTTTAGAGACCTTGGTTGGAATTTGGATAACAGACAACTGATGTACAAAAGCCTTGAGTGGTTCAGACAGCTTCTCAGTGGATACATGATTTGCAATTGGATACTTGGATGTCTTGCCAATATCAGGTGAATAACAGTTTGGTGGCTTCCCACGATTTTACCTGAAAGGTAATTGATATCCAATAGTTTTATCCTCTAAATGCACAATTCTAGTAGGAGTAGTTACCTCAAAGATATTCTCAGGAGATTGGTCTGTTGGTATTGTTGAGTTAGAGGGGGGTCTTCATCTTATTGTTCTGTATTGTCTGTTGGTGTGAGACTCGGATCATTAATATCTTCGTATGGATCAGATGGGTCAGGAAATTGATCGCTATGAATGGGTGATTGATCACTTTTCAGCAGAGAGTAATCTCGTGCTCTAGACTCGGGATGATCAATCATTTCTGTACAGAGGAGAATTTCTTCGTTTTCCAAGTTGCTCTAATTCTGCTCTTTACTTCGAATCTCCCCCTGAAGCGTAGAATTGGATGATGGGTCATGGAAGAACAGCTCAGATTCCAAAAAGGTCACATCCAAAGTAACATAGGTACGTTGGGTAGGAGGGTGATAACAGCGGTAGCCTTTCTTATGAGTGGCATAACCCACAAAAACACAACGAAGCGCACATGGATCAAGTTTGCTACATTAATTTTTGTGGAGATGAACGAAAGCCACACATCCAAAGATTCGGGATGTGAGTACCAAAACAGAGGGTAAAGGTCTGTGTTGCGCAAGCACCTATAAGAGAGTTTTAAAGGTCAATACACCAAAAGGCATGCAGTTGATCAGGTGAATTGCGGTGACAATAGCAACATCCCAGTGATGGCGAGGAACATGAGCGCCAATCAGAAGTTCTCGGGCGGTTTCAAGAAGATGCCGATTCTTTCGTTCAGCAACACCATTTTGTTGCGGTGTCTGAGGACAAGTCGTCTCATGGATAGATCCATGTTGTTGGAAGTAAGTCTGAAAGTCGTCTGAAAGTCGTGATTGACAAATTCTCCACCATTGT